CCTCGTCCATCAGCTTCCTCGTCCCTTGTAGACCCTCCAAAGATGAACGATTTGGAGAGACGGACCCCCTCTGTGGCTCTTCCATATCGGCCACGTCTGGACGACGAAAGCTCAGGCCCTGGGTGCAATCTAGAAAGAGGGCGGGGGGGGGAAGAAAAAAGGGGTGGGGTGGGCGAGAAATGGGAGAGAAATTGTGAGTCAAAGCACACAAAGGCAGGCTTTGGAGGCAGAACAAAGGCCTGTTTGTCAAGATCCGAGACGGGCGCGTTTTCTCCTCCTTCTGACCGCCGAGCATCACCACGTACCACTCGCTGCTGGGGCCGTGCAGCTCTTCTCCACCCAGGCTTGCTTCCCTGACTGGTAGCCCTTCAGAACAGCAGACTTGGAGGGCACTTTGGAGGTCTTCTAGTCCAACCCCCTGCTCGGGCAGGAGATCCTAAACTATTCCCGACAAGGGGCTGCCCAGTCTCCTTTTAAAAGCCTCCAGTGTTAGAGCACCCCCAAGTTCTGGAGGCAAGTCGTTCCACTGGTTAATTGAGCGGGGATTATAGAATAACAGACTTGGAAGGGACCTTGGAGGTCATCTAGTCCAACCCCCTGCTCAGGCAGGAAACCCTATACCGTTTCAGACAAACTGCTGTCCAGTCTCTTCTTAAACACCTCCAGGGATGGAGCAACCACAGCTTCTGGAGGCAGGTGGTTCCACTGGTGAATTGTTCTCACTGTCAGGAAATTTCTCCTTAGATCTAGGTTGCTTCTCTCCTTGGTTAGTTTCTATCTTTTGTTTCTTGTCCTGCCTCCAGGTGCTTTGGAGAATAATTTGACCCCCCCCCTCTTCTTTGTGGCAGCCCCCCAAATATTGGAATACTGCTCTCATGTCATCCCTTAGTCCACGGGTCGGCAACCCGCGGCTCCGGAGCCGCATGCGGCTCTTTGAGCCACCTCCTGCGGCTCCGGAGCCTTCTCCGCCATTTTCATAGAGAGAGAGACAGACAGAGACAGAGAGGCACTTGTGCTTCCCTTCTCTCTATCTCTCTCTCTCTCACACACATGCAGATTTGCCCCTTGCTCCCGATTGGCCCTGCAGCCAGATGCCCTGCCCCCTGGTGGCCAGGAAGGGCCTTTCCGGGGCTGGCCCAGTCCGAGGTGCATGTGGCCAGAGAGCCGCGCGGGGAAGCCCCAGGATCGATGCTGGGAGCGGCCCAGCAGAGCCTCCGTTGAAAGGGCCAGCCCTCCCGCAAGCTGCGGCCCTAGTGGGCCAAGCAGGAGCAGACCCGGAGATGGAGGGTGAGTGGGGAGGAGGGAGGGGGCTTACCTGCACCAGGCGGAGGGGCAGCCGAGCCGGCCTCGTGTCTCCCTGGGCTGGGCAGCAGGCCTGGCGGGGCCAGCGGCCGGCAGGGGCATTGGTTCCTGCCCTTCCCCGGGCCAGGCGGTAGGCCCAGCGGGGGCAGCAGCCGGCGGGGGCATCGGTTCCTGCCCCTCCCCGGGCCGCTGGGCCAGCCTCGCGTCTTCCCGGGCTAGGCGGCAGTGGCGGGCGGCAGAGGCATTGGTTTTTGGCCGTCCCCGGGCCGCTGAGCTGACTTCGCATCTTCCCGAGCTGGGCGGCAGGGGCATTGGTTTGTAGCCGTCCCCGGGCCGCTGAGCCGGCCTCGTGTCTCCCCGGGCGGCAGATGGCGGGGATATTGGTTTCTGGCCGTCCCCGGGGCGCTGAGCCTGCCTCGCGCCTCCCCGGGCTGGGCGGCAGTGGTAGCCGGCAGGGGCATTGGTTTTTGGCCGTCCCCAGGGCGCTGAGCCAGCCTCGCATCTTCCCCGGCCGTGCGGCAGGCGGCGGGGGCATTGGTTTGTAGCCATCCCCAGGCCGCTGAGCAAGCCTCGCATCTTCCCGGGCTGGGCGGCAGTGGCGGCCGGCAGGGGCATTGGGTTTTGGCCGTCCCCGGGCCACTGAGCCAGCCTTGCATCTTCCCGGGCCGTGCGGCAGGCGGCGGGGGCATTGGTTTGTAGCCGTCCCCGGGCCGCTGAGCCAGCCTTGTTTTTTCCCGGGCCAGGCAGCAAGTGGCGGGGACATTTGTTTGTAGCCGTCCCCGGGGCGCTGAGCCTGCCTCGCGTCTCCCCGGGCTGGGCGGCAGTGGCGGCCGGCAGGGGCATTGGTTTTTGGCCGTCCCCAGGGCGCTGAGCCAGCCTCGCATCTTCCCCGGCCGTGCGGCAGGCGGCGGGGGCATTGGTTTGTAGCCATCCCCAGGCCGCTGAGCAAGCCTCGCATCTTCCCGGGCTGGGCGGCAGTGGCGGCCGGCAGGGGCATTGGGTTTTGGCTGTCCCCGGGCCACTGAGCCAGCCTTGCATCTTCCCGGGCCGTGCGGCAGGCGGCAGGGGCATTGGTTTGTAGCTGTCCTCGGGCCGCTGAGCCAGCCTTGTTTTTTCCCGGGCCAGGCAGCAAGTGGCGGGGACATTTGTTTGTAGCCGTCCCCGGGGCGCTGAGCCTGCCTCGCGTCTCCCCGGGCTGGGCGGCAGTGCGGCCGACAGGGGCATTGGGTTTTGGCCGTCCCCGGGGCGCTGAGCCTGCCTTGTGTTTCCCCAGGCCAGGCAGCAAGCCCGGCGGGCAGTGGGGGCATCGGTTCCTGCTCGTCCCCGGGCCGCTGAGCCGGTCAAATCAACGGACGTGGAGGTACTGCAGCTGGCTTTTTGATTCGCCGCAGACCTCCATTGACTTCCATGGGGATTCTTGGCAATGAATGGGGCTGATTGAAATCGCTTCAAGAAGCAAGCTGCAGAGACACAGAGAGCTGCAAATGATCTCCACAGGAGATGCAGCAAGGGCAGGAGACGAGAAAGAGTCCGCTATGTCTGTGCACAAGCCCCGAAAGCTTTCTTCCTCTCCCTGCCTTTCTTGCTGGCCCTCTGATGTAAGCATCTGCTGGGTTTCCTCAACCTCCCCCCCCCCCGTTTTATTTTAATCCCACCATCGCCTCCCTCTTTCGCAAAGTTGACATTCCTAGGACTCGTAGCTCGCTTCGCTCCTGGAGTCACTTGGCAAAGTTTGAAGGAGAGGCTGCCTGCTCCCACCTCCCACGGAGCAGAACTGCTGCTTCCTCACCTCCCAGCGAAAGAACCCCAGAGAGCTGGAAGGCGTCCTTTCTCCCACTTTCCGCTTCCCATCCTCCCTTTTCCAAGCACCCCTCCCAGAGCAAACCAGAAGCCTCAACTCCAGCCTCCTGCAGCAGGCTGAGATAGGCGAGCCCGAGCGACCGTCTTCTGCTGCCTCAGAACATTCACTGCAGCAGCTCTTTCTCTCCGTCGGCTTCCTCCTCCGCTCCCTGGGAACCTTCGCGCCAAAAGGCAGCAAGAAGAAAGTCCCAGAGAGGGAGAGCGCGGGGTGAGGGGAGAGCAGTCTTTTCCGAAGGGAAGAGAAGCCAGGACTGCAGAGCCCGTTCATACCAGAGCTGGATGGGGGGCAGGGCAGGCGCACGTTTCGCCTTAAGCTCCTCTCTTTAATCAAGCCCTGTGTTCTGTGCGCATGCGCGTGCGCGCGCACATTTTGCGGCTCCCAGGATTTTTTTTTTGTGAGGGAAATGGATCCAAGTGGCTCTTTCACTGTTGCAGGTTGCTGACCCCTGCCTTAGTCCTTCTTTTCTCTAGACTAAACACACCCAAATCCTTCGATTGTTCTTCCTATGTTTTAGTCTCCAGGCCTTGGATCATCTGAGTTGCTCTTCTCTGCACTTTTTCCAAACTCTCAACATCTTTTTTGTGATGTGGTGACCAAAATTGGCTGCAGTATTCCAGGCGTGGCCTTACTAGGGTTTTATAAAGCAGTACTAATACCTTGCGTGATCTTGATTCTCTGCCTCTGTTTATGCAACTCAGGATTATATTAGTTTTTTTGGCTGCTGCTGCACATGGATGGCTGATGGTCAAGTGATGGTCCACTAGGACTCCAAAGTCCCTCTCACAGTTGCTGTGTTTGAACCAGGTCTCCCCCAATCAAGGAGAAAAGCAACCTAGAACTAAGGAGAAACTTCCTGACAGTGAGAACAATTAACCAGTGGAACAGCCTGCCTCCAGAAGCGGTGAATGCTCTAACACTGGAAGTCTTTAAAAAGAGACTGGACAGCCATTTGTCCGAAATGGTGTAGGGCAGTGGTTTTCAACCTGTGGGTCGGGACCCCATTTGGGGTCGAACGATCATTTCACGGGGGTCGCCAAATAACGCAGTCCGCCATTTTTTCCCCCTTTTCCTTAGCTGTGCTCCTCCCTTTTATTCTATTGGCTTTTGAAAGCCAATAGGAATTGTCCAGGCTGTCTCTGCCCTGCTGAGCCCGCCAAAAGTCCCATTCTGCAAACGGTGCTGCACCAGTGGAGTAGTCCTCGACTTACGACCGGTTGAGTAGTCCTCAAATTACAACCGGTTGGGGGGGGTTGCGGCATTAAAAAGGTTGAGAACCACTGCTGTAGGGTTTCCTGCCTGAGCAGGGGGGTGGACTAGATGACCTCCAAATTCCCTTCCAACTTTATTATTATTATTATTAAACTAATCACGGAGAGAAGCAAGCAAGCTAGAACTAAGGAGAAACTTCCTGACAGGGAGAACAATTAACCAGTGGAACTACCTGCCTCCAGAGGCGGTGAATGCTCCAACACTGGAAGTTTTTAAGAAGAGACTGGACAGCCATTTGTCTGAAATGGGATAGGGTTTCCTGCCTGAGCAGGGGGTTGGACTAGATGACCTCCAAGGTCCCTTCCAACTTTATTATTATTATTATTATTATTAATAATAATAATAATAATAATAATAATAATAATAATAATAATTACTTGTACCTTTGATTTTTCCTGCCTATGTTTAAGACTTTGCTTTTCTCCACCTTGAAACTCATTCTGTTGGACAGGGCCCACCTTAATGTTCTCATTCCAGGCGCTTGGATCCTCCCTTTTAAAGCTCGGATCCTCCCCATCATCCACTACCCTCCCTCCCACCCAGATTAATCAGCCTTCAGGATCTCCACCCAGTTTTGCCTCTTCAAAAGGCTGCTTGATTCTCCCAGGAGATGCCCATCCCCTGCAAATCAGCTCTGGCTGCCAGGTCTCAGGAGAAGCCCCCTCTCCACCCTACCCCCTCTTCGTTCCTGGGCCGAGGGGTCACCCCACTTTTAAAGCCCTTTCAGGTCAAGAACCTGGCCCCGTTGCCAGGGATTTAGACCTCGGGCCAAGGCAGAGAATAAGGTTTGTTTGATTAAGGTGCTGCGTGAATCCACCCACGCCGGCTTGTGGCATAATGACACAACAAAGCCAACCGGCTTTGCCAAGTTGACGCAATAAACACGGTTAAGCAAACCACCGCTTAAGAGAGCGTGTGCTTTCCTTTCCTCCGTCAAGTGTCCGGGCTTCTGAGTTGCAGGGCTACCGCGAGTGGAGGGCCCTTGCCAGCTAGTCCCAGTGCCCGGTGGCCAACAGGCCATGGCCCGGTACCGGGCCACAGACCTAGGTTGGGGAGCCCTGTTCTAGTCCAATACCCTGTTTAGTCAGGAAACCTACACCATTTCAGACAAACAAACCCAGTACCGTTTCAGACAAACACTCCTTACCCTCTCGGTCCAACTGGAGGGAGAGTCGGCTGCTGCCACGGGCTGCCTCTGCCCCGACATTGGGCTCAGCTATTCAGTGTCGCACAAAACGCAACGAACGAGCGTTCAGGATATCGGCCGGGTCAGGGAAGACCGAATCCACTCGGAAGCCCTGGGCCAAGGCCACCTTCAACACCTCTTCCAGAAATTCGTTGGAGGATCGGATCTCTCGCCCGTCCACCCACAGGCGGCGCAACTTCTGCTTGGCGTACTCCGCAGCCGGCAGAGCCGCTGGACACGGGGCCCACTCCAAGCAGAGGTGGTGGCACGCGGTGGTTTCCACGAGGCAATTTCCCGATGAACCATCTGGCATCTCGTCATCCGTCTCCACATCTTCGTCCGTGGAGTCGCCCAGACAAATTCCCCGATCGCCGTTGGGAAACCAATGCTTCCACCCTCCGGGTTCCCGGATAGCTGCCTGAGCTTTGGGAAGCCCCAGGCCTCTCCGGGACGGGTCTGGCTTTCCATTAGGAGACCCTTCCTCCACATTCCCGTTGGCACAGTCAAGGCGGCCCAGGTATCTACGCAGAACGGCCAGAAAGTGCCTGTCTGTGCAGAAGACGTTTGCGGTGAAGATCTCCACGGTGCAAGAGCTGAGCTCGTAGTTCTGGGGTCCGCGGCGCACGTTGAAATGCAGCCGGCGGGAGTTCAGGTCCACGTCGGCGTGGAGCACCGCGTTGCTCCGTTGGCGCCACCGCTCCGCCTCCACCCGCTGCAGCTGATGCAGAAGCGGACGGATCTGGTAGAAGTCGGCTTCGGCCCGCAGCAGGGAAAGCTCGGCGTAGCCCTCCGGAAGGTCCAGCCGGCCGAAACGGAGGAAATTCAGGACGTGGCGGAAAGTCTTGCCGTCGCGGTCGATGAAGTAGTTCCCACAGCTGTCCAGGAGGGCCGGCTGGGGATCCCGGAACATGGCGCCCAGCATGGAGTCGGGGACGCGGGTCAGGGTTTCCAGAGTGGTGCTGTAGAGCTTCCCACCCACGTTCAGGGTCACCAGGGGGCCGGGCCGGTCTGGACCCTGGCAGGTGTCCGGCATCCTCAGAAAGACACCTGTGGGGAGAAGAGGAGGGGCTGCGTTACTCGGGGTGTGCTTGCTGTTTTTCTGAATTTTAATCATTTTGGACTTTTGTACTTTCTATTATATATACCAGTGGTTCTCAACCTTTTTAATGCCGCGAACCCCAACCGGTCGTAAGTTGAGGACTACTCAACTGGTGCAGCACCGTTTGCAGAAAGGGACTTTTGGCGGGCTCAGCAGGGCAGAGACAGCCTGGACAATTCCGATTGGCTTTGGAAAGCCAATAGAATTAGACTCTATTCAAGAGAGTCTCTTCTATTGGCTTTCAAAAGCCAATAGAATAAAAGGGAGGAGCACAGCTAAGGAAAAGGGGGGGGGGAAACGGCGGACTGCGTTGTTTGGCGACCCCCGTGAAATGGTCGTTCGACCCCAAATGGGGTCCCGACCCACAGGTTGAGAACCACTGATATATACATTTAATATTATACATTTTATTATATATACATTTAATATATATTACATATTTATATTACTGTAGCGTTCGACTGATCACTACAATTCAGCCCCAAATTTCCATTGGTAAGCAAGAATGTGAAATGAATTTAGCCCCGTTATTACGACTTTTCCTGCCACCGTTGTGCAGTTCTTAACTGAGTAAAGGGGGTTGATAAGTGAATCGGGCTTCCTCCCACTGACTTTGCTCGTCAGATCATCACAAAAGTGGGATCACGTGAACCCCGGGACACTGCGACCGTCGTAACTATGAACCAGTTGCGGAGCATCCAAATTTTTGATCACGTGACCACGGGCATGCTGTGACGGTCGTTAAGTGTGGAAACTGGTTGTAAGTCCCTTTTTTCAGTGCTTTTGTAACTCTGAACGGTCTGTAAATGAATGGTTGTAAAATCGAGGACTGCCTGTATTGTAAGCCATCCAGAGTGACTGTAGCAGTGAGACGGGTGGCAAAATAATTTGAGATAGCTAGAAGATAGAGACATATATATGAGAGAGAGAGAGAGAGAGAGAGAGACAGAGAGTGAGATAGAGAGAAAGAAAGATGGAGAGATAGAGAGAAATATAAAGACACACACAGAGAGAGAGATGATAGAGATAGACAGAGACAAGAGAGAGAGAGAAAGATGATAGAGAGACAGACAGATGGGAGGAGAGAGACAGAGTGATACAAAGACACAGAGATGATAGATTGAGACAGAGGACAGAGACAGACAGACAGACAGGCACACACACACACACACACACACACACAAAGAGAGAGACGGGGAAAGACAGAGAGATAAGAGAGACAGAGACAGAGAGACAGAGACACAGAAAGAGAAAGGAGAGACAGAGAGATACAAATACACAGAGAGATGATAGACAGATTGAGAGAGAGAGAGACAGACAGACAGACACACACACACAAAGAGAGAGACGGGGAAAGACAGAGAGATAAAGAGAGAGAGACAGAGAGAGAGAGAGACAGAAAGAGAAATAAGAGAGAGAGAGAGAGATACAAAGACACAGAGAAATGATAGAAAGATTGAGACAGAGAGAGAGACAGATGATAGAGAGACAGACAGACACACACACACACACACACACACACACAAAGAGAGACAGGGAAAGACAGAGAAAGAGAGAGAGATACAGAAAGAGAAAGAGGAGAGAGAGGAGAGAGACAGACAGAGACAGACACACACATACAGAGATGATAGACAGAGACTATCTAGGAGAGAGAGAGAGACAGAGACGGAGAAACAGAGAGAGAGAGAGAGAGAGAGAAAGAGGAGAGAGAAAGGAGAAAGAAAAGAGAGGAGAGAGAGAAAGAGAGAAAGACAGAGAGAGACAGAGACAGAGAGATAAAGAGAGAGATGAACAAACAAACAAAGCAACTTTTAGCACCGCCTGATTCTTTTCCCAAAGTAGGAAAAACAATCTTTGCACCTCCTCGCAAAAATCATTTCTGGATCTCTTTCCCTCCAACCACACTTTCCGGGGTGGGGAAGAAAAGGAAAGGAAAGTGGGGGGAGGCAAGTCAGGGGGGCCCCGCAGAGCCGGGATCCCAGGCCAAGGGGGGGCGGGGGGGGAAGGGGCGCCTCCCTGGCCAGGTCGGGGCGGTTCCCAGTCTGGGACCTCCCAGTGGGATCCTGTTCCCGGCGGGGCCGGGGGGGGGAAAGGCGGGGAGCTTTGGGTGGGCGACCGGCCCTTCCTCCTCCCCTCCCCTCCCTCCCCCCTCCCGGCTTTCCCACCGAGGGGGCGTCCGGGAGGCGCAGCCGTACAAGCGGGAGAGGGAACCGAAGCCCGGGTCCCCGCTCCCATAAGGCCGAGGAGGATGGGAACTGGAGTCTGCCCCTGCCCCATAGCTGGGGAGGGGGCTCCTCCCGCCAAGCCCCCCACCCTCCGCGGGGGAGGGTCCCCGGACGCGCTCGGGGAAACCGAGGCACCCGGTGGGGGAGGGGCGCAGAAGAGGCGGGGTCGGGCAGCCCCCTGGGGGGGGTGCTGGGGGGGGAGTTGCCTTACCTGGCGGGGGGGGGGCTTACCTGGAGTCGCCTTACCTGGCGGGGGGTTCGTGGGGGGGGGTCTCTCGGAGCGGCAGCCAAGCGCGGCTGAGCCGGTCTGCTTTCCCGGGGCGCTGCCGGCGGCCGCCCTTTATAGGGGCGGGCGGGAGCGGCGGGGGCGGGCGGGAGGCGTCGCCCGCCCGGGGGAAGCGGCCGGCAGGTGTGGCGGGGGGGGGGCGGACTGGCGCCGCCGCTTCTTGCCTCGCTCAGCCGCAATTCGGAGTCAGCCCCGCCCCGGCTGGGCTAGGACCTCCTCCGGGGTCTCCGGGACCCCCCCCCCGCCTGCCCCCTCCGACCCCGGACCCCCGGCTGGAGGGGGGGTGAACCCCGCCGGTGCCCCCCCCTCCTCGCGATCGTCCCGTGCCAGGCGCGCCCCGACTGGATCGGTGCCGTCCCGACTGGCGGCGGTGGATGATGGGAGGTGGGCGCGGGGTGATCGGTGGTGGGGGGTGGGTGATGGGCGGTGGGTGATCGGTGGTGGATGATGGGTGATGGGCGGTGGGTGATGGGAGGTGGGTGATGTGCGGTGGGCACTGGGTGATCGGTGGTGGGCGATGGGCTGTGGATGATGGGCGGTGGGTGATGGGAGGTGGATGATGGGCCATGGGTGATGAGCAGTGGATGATGGGTGGTGGGTGGTGGATGATGGGCCATGGGTGATGGGCAGTGGATGATGGGAGATGGGTGATGGCCGGTGGGTGATGGGTGGTGGGCGATGGGCTGTGGATGATGGGAGGTGGATGATGGGCCATGGGTGATGGGCAGTGGATGGGAGATGGGAGGTGGGTGATGTGTGGTGGGCACTGGGTGATCGGTAGTGGGCGATGGGCTGTGGATGATGGGAGGTGGGTGATGGGAAGTGGGTGAAAAGTGATGGGAGGTAGGCAGTGGGGTGTCTCACAACTGGGATCCCGCCCTCTTCCAGCAGTTTCCCCCCCCCCCAGTTTCCACGTAGTGCTGGGAGACGCAAGGAATGGGGAACAGCCCCCAGCAGGTCGGGATTTGGGACAGCGCCAGCGAATGCTTTGAAAAGTGAGCATGGGAATGTGGGAAACTTGGGTTCAAGTCTCTCCTCAGGCTGTATGAATACTGGGGAGGCTTTGGGCCAGTCCCAGTTCCCTCCCTCCTTCCCTCTCTCTCTCTCTCTCTCTCTCTCTCTCTCAGCACAGCTCAGCCTACTTTGCAGGGAGGTTGTGTTGGGAAGAAATGGGACAAGGGAATACTGTATAGGTAGTCCTCAACTTACAACCACAGGTGAACCCAAAACATCTGTTGCTAAGTAAGACAGTTGTTAAATGAGTTTTGCTCCATTTTACGACCTTTCTTGCCACAGTTGTTAAGTCAGGGATTTTCAAACGTGGCCCTTTGATGACTTGTGGACTTCGACTCCCAGAATTCCTCAGCCAGCAAAGCTGGCTGAGGAATTCTGGGAATCGAAGTCCACAAGTCATCAAAGGGCCACATTTGAAGACCCCTGTGTTAAATGAACCACTGCAGTTGTTCAGTGAGGAACACGGTTGTTAAATGAATCAGACTTGCCCCATTGACTTTGTTTGTAAGACGGTCGCAAAAGAGGGGCCACCTGACCCCGGGGGGGGGACGCTGCAACCGTCGTAAACACAAGTCAGTTCCCAAGCCTCTGAATTTTGATCACATGACCGCAGGGGACGCTACCAGGGTAGTAAGTGTGAAAAAGGATCCTGAGTCGCTGTAACTTCGAACGGTCACTAAATGAACCATCGTAAGTCGGGGACTGCTGGCATTTTACCAGCCTCACCAGTTCTGGGGCTCGGCTGCAGGAGGATTCGGCTGGGCTCGCTGCCATGATCTCACTGTTTTCGGTAACAAAATTCCACAGCTTTTTACACCCCGTCTCTGCCCAGCCCTGTTTCCCAGGTGAACCAAACAAACTGGATTCCAGCCTTGAAAGGAAACAGCCGCCCGCCTCCACGGCACCATCCCGGGCCTCGTTTCCAGCCGCACGTAATTGTCGTTGTCGTGCTTGTCTGAACGCACACACAGCCTCGCTCCACCTGCTGCAAACATTGCAGGTTTTTGTTTTCCGGTCATATTGCAAAACCTGCAGGTAATTTCAGACTGGCTGGATGAGTCACTGGGTCGGCGGCCTGCTTTGGCCCGGGGAAGGAGTGCCACGGTCCAGGGCAGAGTGTCTCAAACTTGACAGCTTTAAGAGAGGTGGACTTCAACTCCCAGAATGCCCCAGCCAGGCTCAGCACTGTTTAAATCGGGGGTCTTCAAACTTGGCCCTTTTGTGACTTGTGGACTTCAACTCCCAGAATTCCTCAGCCAGCGTGAGGGAACTAGGGCCCTTTTGTGACTTGTGGACTTCAACTCCCAGAATTCCTCAGCCAGCGTGAGGGAACTAGGACCCTTTTGTGACTTGTGGACTTCAACTCCCAGAATTCCTCAGCCAGCGTGAGGGAACTACGACCCTTTTATGACTTGTGGACTTCAACTCCCAGAATTCCTCAGCCAGCGTGAGGGAACTATGACCCTTTTGTGACTTGCGGACTTCAACTCCCAGAATTCCTCAGCCAGCGGGAGGGAACTACGACCCTTTTATGACTTGTGGACTTCAACTCCCAGAATTCCTCAGCCAGCGTGAGGGAACTAGGACCCTTTTGTGACTTGTGGACTTCAACTCCCAGAATTCCTCAGCCAGCGTGAGGGAACTAGGACCCTTTTGTGACTTGTGGACTTCAACTCCCAGAATTCCTCAGCCAGCGTGAGGGAACTAGGACCCTTTTGTGACTTGTGGACTTCAACTCCCAGAATTCCTCAGCCAGCGGGAGGAAACTATGGCCCTTTTATGACTTGTGGACTTCAACTCCCAGAATTCCTCAGCCAGCGTGAGGGAACTAGGACCCTTTTGTGACTTGTGGACTTCAACTCCCAGAATTCCTCAGCTAGCATGCCTGGCTGAGGAATTCTGGGAGTTGAAGTCCACAAGTCCTAAAAGGGTCAAGTTTCAAGACCCCCCCCCCCAGCTTTAAATCATTGTTCTTCAAACTTGGCAACTTTAAGAGAGGTGGACTTCAACTCCCAGAATTCCCCAACCTGTGGAATTCTGGATGTTGGAGTCCACCTCTCTTTAAAGTCGCCAATCTGGAGAAATTGCCCTTGAAGCTCTCCAGAACTTTTTCCTAAACCCCTTATCCTTCCAAATCTCGCAGAGAGGAACCCCTTTATCTGATTTAGACGCTTCCTGCATGGAGGACCAGCCCAGATGTTTCCAAACACCCCGGGAGATTCCTGAAAAACCCAGCTGGATTCTGAAGGACCAGCCAAGGATCCAACTTTCCAAAGGTCCCTGCTTCTTCCTTTCCTAGGTTCAAAGCTGGGATTCCAGGTTCTAGGATTTTGAGATTGTCACCCGTGAGGATGCTCGACTCCGCTCTCTCTTGCTAAACGACAAAATACGGCTAGCCAAACTGTGGACCAACTGACCTTGGTATCACACCCTGACTCAAGGCGGCTGAGTAAGCCAGAGAAGCCATCACAAAAGTGTGTCACATCCTCTCCTGCTCCTTGATGCTCAGCACATCCCTGCGGGGCAGGAGAACATGTTTGGGCACCTATGAAAGCAGCTACGTCTTGCAAGTCACGTCGGCTGGAACGTGGAGATCCTCAGACAGGCACTTTCCAAGGAAAACCGGGGAGTGGGAGCCATTGGTGTGGGTTTTGAAGCCCGAGAGAGAAGACATTGTGGGTTCTCCCGAAGGTTGTGAGTGCTCCAACACTGGAGTTTTTAAAGAAGGGATTGGTGTAGGGTCTCTCTGCCTGAGCAGGGGGTTGGACTAGAAGACCTCCAAGGTCCCTTCCAGATTCTATTCTATTCTATTCTATTCTATTATTCTATTCTATTCTATTCTATTCCACATTTTCTCTTCTATTCTATATTCCATTCTCTTATTTTAATTTTATACTCCATTTCTTATTCTATTCTTTCTATTCTATTCTACATTCTATATTCTATTATTATTCTATTCTATATTCTATTATATTCTCATTCCATATTTCCTATTCTATTCTATTCCATTCCGTATTCTATTCTATTGCTATTCTGTATTTTATTACTCTATTCTATTCTATATTCCTATATTCTATTCTATTCTGTTCCTTATTTCTATTCTATTCTATATTATTATCCTATTCTATTCTATTTCTATTCTATTCTATTCTATATTCCTATATTCTATTCTATTCTGTTCCTTATTTCTATTCTATTCTATATTATTATTCTATTCTATTCTACTCTATTCTATTCTATTGTTTCATTCCCATTCTCTATTCTATTCTATTCTATTCTATTCTATTCTATTCTATTCTATTCCCTATTCTATTCTATTCTATTCTATTCTGTATTTTATTATTCTATTCTATTTTTATTCTATTCTATTCTGTATTTTATTATTCTATTCTATTCTTTATTCTATTCTATTCTGTATTTAATTATTCTATTCTTTATTCTATTCTATTCTATTCTATTCTGTATTTTATTATTCTGTTCTATTCTATTCTATTCTATTCTATTCTATTCTATTCTATTCTGTATTTTATTATTCTATTCTATTTTTATTCTATTCTATTCTGTATTTTATTATTCTATTCTATTCTTTATTCTATTCTATTCTGTATTTAATTATTCTATTCTTTATTCTATTCTATTCTATTCTGTATTTTATTATTCTGTTCTATTCTATTCTATTCTATTCTATTCTATTCTATTCTATTCATGACGATCAGAACAATTAACCAGTGGAACTCCTTGCCTCCAGAAGTTGTGTGTGCTCCATCACTGGAGGGTTTCAAGAAGAGATTGGACAACCATTTGTCCGGAATGGAGTAGGGTCTCCTGCCTGAACAGTTGGGTTGGACTAGATGACCTCCAGGGTCCGTTCCAGCTCGGTTTATTCTGTACTCTATTGTCGTCGCTCTCCAGAATCGACTTATTCCTGCAGCAAACCAGATGACTTGCCGAACTGACAGTGGTTACTTGATCTCGATCTAGTGGATCATGGAATCCTTCTAATGCATTTACATCCAGCACATACATCATGGTTGACTTTTGAGCAAAACAGTCCCTCTGAGCAAGGGAAGGCTTAACGCCAACATCCGCTAAGTTTGAGTTGAAGCAGGCAGGTCATCCTCGACTTACGACCAATGAGTTAAGCGACTGTTCAGAGTTATGACGGATCACCCCGAAAGCCGCTCGTGACCCCAGTTGTGTTCCAATGGCCGCACAACTCTGCAGCCGTGTGGCTTTGTCTCTTTGTGCAACTCATGGGCTGCCCATCTTGATGACATATTTTTGCTTGTTTCCAGCCCAAAAACGCCTTGATTTCCTTACCCGTGGCGTTCCCATAACAACCATGATGCCCTTTTAGTGACCGTCACAAAGAGGCGTGAAATTGAATCTGGTCCGATGCGTGTCTTGATTTATGACCGTCACATGGCCTACCATGGAAATTCTGGGCTCCGTTACAGTTGTAAGCTGAGTATCACGGTTCCGACAGATGAAACTCTTCGAAAGAACTTTGAGGTATTGTTGACCTTAAAGAATCTTTATTTTGAGGAGCATAACTTCGGCATAATCGGAGCCAAAAACTGAATTCCCCTCCCCTGGGCACATAGTGTCAAAGCACAATTCCCTCCTTCAATTAACAGTCATAAATCACATTCTCCAATTAGCTTGTCTCCAGCCCGCCAATTCCTATCAGCTCTGGTTACAATAACCTTGATTCTCACGCTAGGTTTAGTGTTGCTATGTCTAGCTGGACTCTCATTCACATCACCCCCCTCCCCGCATCATCTAACTCTAAAAGCAAGAGGAAAAAAGATGGCTGCATTCCCTCTGTTGTCAAGGCAAAAACATCCAAGGTTAGCAGCGTTGACACTGAGGGCTACCTCAGGCAGCTCCCCAAATGATGAGTTTGCGAAGCGGCATTGTCAGGTTTCGTTCCGTTTTATGACCTTTCCAGCCACCGTCACTAAGTGAATCGCTGCAGTTGTTAAGTGAGTCACGCGGTCGTTAAGTGAATCTGGCTCCCCCCTCCATGGACTTTGCTTATCGGAAGGTCGCAAAACAGGGATCGCGTGAGACACAGCCCTCCCAGAGACGCTGAGACTGTCATAAATACGAATTGGGGGCCGAGCGTACGAATTTTGATCACACGGCCATGGCAATGCCGCAACGGTTGTGAAAAAGGGTCAGAAGTCACTTCTTTAGTGTCGGCGTAACTTTGAACGGTCGCTAAACGAATGCTTGTAAGTCGAGGACTGGAGACAGAGCCAGGCCAATTCTGAGGATCAGGGGTCTTCCACCTTGGCCCTTTGATGACTTGTGGACTTCAACTCCCAGAATTCCTCAGCCAGCATGCCTGACTGAGTAATTCTGGGAGTTGAAGTCCACAAGTCATGAAAGGGCCAAGTTTGAAGACCCTTGCTCAAGATGGAAATGAAGGTCTTGAGTACAAACCAAGGGATCTTGTCAGCATCCAGTCCAAGCCGGGATCTGGTGATCCACTCCAGGGGCATCATCTGGGTCGCGGGGGGGGGGGGAGGCTGCCCGCTCCTTTAAATTTCCATTTCCATCTCGCAGACGAAGCCGTACTGCCGCGTGCAGTGGGCATCGTTCCAGCAGCCGTTGCTATGGAGATGGGCACAGTCCTCCCTACCGCTGTATCCGTGGTCATACCAATTGTCGGGCTGTTGGGGGCACCAGTCCCTGGGGCAGAGGGGAGAGAAGGGGGGAGGCCGTGAGTGCGGGGCTGGGGGTGCCCGCTTGCCCACCACAGTCTCGTGGGTTAAAATTTCCATGCCTTCCAATAAAACAACGCAGACACAAAGCAAAGCAAAGCAAAGCAAAGCAAAATATTAAAGTAAAATAAATAGGGGAGACAAGATAGCAGTGTTCCAGTATTTGGGGGGCTGCCACAAGAAGAGGGGGTCACGTTGTTCTCCAAAGCACCAGAGGGAAGGACGAGAAACAACGGTTGGAAACTGATCAAAGAGAGAAGCAACCTGGAATTAAGGAGAAACTTCCTGACAGGGAAGACAATTAACCAGTGGAACTGCTTGACACCAGAAATCATGGGTGCTCCATCACTGGAAGCTTTAAGAAGAGGCTAGAGACAGTCACTTGTCTGAGATGGTATAGGTCAGTGGTGGCGAACCTATGGCACGGGTGCCAGAGGCGGCACTCAGAGCCCTCTCTGTGGGCACGTGCGCTGTCGCCCCAGTCCTAGGCCTTTAACTGGGTTTTATAAAACCTTTTCGCTTTAGGCCTCCACCGCCGTGTGCAAAAAAAAAAAAAAGGTTCAATCAATCAGTCAATTTCAACTTCTCGTGGGAAAAAAAAAGATCTTGCAAAGTTGGAATTGATTGATTGAACTTTTTAGTCCCACCCAGTCTGCCGTTACCACTGCAGCCACGCCCACCCACTGGGCCACACCCACCCGGCATTCGACGATGCATAAGTGGGTTTTGGGTTGCAGTTTGGGCACTCGGTCTCTAAAAGGTTCGCCATCACTGGTATAGGTTCTCCTGCTTGAGCAAGGGGCTGGACTAGAAGACCTCCAGGGTCCCTTCCAGCTCTATTCTATTCTATCCAATTCTATTCTAATAAAATATAAAATAGTAAAATAGTAAAACAATAAACTATAAAATAAAATACTAAAATATAAAATAGTAAAATAAAATAAAAAATAAAATAAAATAAAAAATACTAAAATAAAATATAAAATAAAATAAAATAGTAAAATAAAATAAAATGTAAAATAAAATACTAAATAAAATAGTAAAATAAAATATAAAATAAATAAAATATAAAATAAAATATAAAATAAAATACTAAATAAAATAAAAATAGAATACAATAAAATAAAAAATAAAATAAAAAATACTAAAATAAAATATAAAATAAAATAAAATAGTAAAATAAAATAAAATGTAAAATAAATAAAATAAAATATAAAATAAAATACTAAATAAAATAGTAAAATAAAATATAAAATAAATAAAATATAAAATAAAATACTAAATAAAATAAAAATAGAATACAATAAAATAAAAAATAAAATAAAATACCTCAGCTTACAACACTTTATTTAGTGTCCATTCAAAGTTACAATGGCACTAAAAAAAAAGGACTTATGACCATTTCTCAACTTACGACCGTTTTCAGCATCTCCATGGTCACGGGATCAAAGGTCAGATTCTCTGCAACTGACCTGTATTTATGACGGTCACAGGGTCCCGGGCTCACATAATTAGGTGTTTAAAAGCCTAATTGTCCTCACTGTAATGGTCATCAAGCAATCCATCATAAGCTGAGGACTATCTTTACAGAACAATCTTTCAGCAAATTTAAGATGCCGGGCTTTCAACTCCCAGAATTCCTCAGCTGTGCCAAACCGGGGGTTGGTGCAGATGATCTCTAGAGTCTCTCCTGAGGCTGACTACCAATGGATAGTCAAAGGGGAACTCTGGGTGGGTGAGGGAAGGGAGAAAACCCCTCCAGTGGAACCTACCGTGTCACAACTGTGTAGGGTGAGCCGTCCACCCACTTCCAGCTGCCGTCGGCGTCCGTCAATCCGATCCACACGAAGTGAGGCTTGACACGCACTGCCACAAATTGCTGTCAGAAAAAAAAAAAAAGAATAGAGGAAGGTTGAGGCACCCCAGCACCCCAAAATCTTGGCCTGCCAATGTAGAAATGTCCATCCCAGCATATAATAAACTTGGAAAAAATATCTGGGCAGTGCAATAAATAGATAGAAACATCTATTTCAGCAACTTTAAGTGGAGTGGACTTCAACTCCCAGAATTCCTCAGAAAGCGAACTTGGCCCCTTTAAGGTTTGTGGACTTCAACTCCCAGAATTCCTCCGCCAGGAAACTTGGCCCATTTAAGAGTAATAGACTTCAATTCCCAGAATTCCTCAGCCAGCAAACTCTGTCTCTTTAAGACTTACTGGACTTCAAGTCCCAGAATTCCTCAGCCAGGAAATTCAGCCCCTTTAAGATTTGTGGACTTCAACTCCCAGAATTCCTCAGCCAGGAAACTTGGCCCATTTAAGAGTAATAGTCTTCAATTCCCAGAATTCCTCAGCCAGCAAACTCTGTCTCTTTAAGACTTACTGGACTTCAACTCCCAGAATCCCTCAGCCTGCAAACTTGGTCCCTTTAAGACTTGTGGACTTGCAACTCCTGGGGAATTCTGGGAGTTGAAGTCCACAAGTCTTAAAGGGCCCACGTTTGCTGGCTGAGGAATTCCGGAAGCCCACAAGTCTGAAAGGGGCCATGTTTGGTGACCCCTGTTCTACTCCAACTGCTTCCTGGGTCAAAACACCCCGGCAGGTAGAAAACTCGGCACCTACTTGCTCCTCGTAGGAGTTGATGATCACCAGGTGAGCATCGTGGTTTTCGCACTCGGCTTTGGCCTCTTCCCACGACTTCTGCTCTCGGCTTTCCCAGTAGCAGCTTTTCCGAAATGCGTTCCAGCTTCTGGGACAGCAAGCCTCCGTCCGGACTGGGTAGAAAGGAAGGAAACCAGCCAGGATGAACGGAAGGGAGAGCTTGAACGAGGCTGGACTACAGCGCCCATCGTGCTGAGCCGGCCTTGCCTCTCCTTCCTAGGGAGAAAAGCCCGTCATTCACCGAGAAGAGCTTTGCTGGGAATCGCCTGCTGCTATTTTGGAGGGAAGGGGGATACCTCTTTCATTTACAGGCAGTCCTCCACTTACGACCAACATTTCTGCCGTTCAGGGAGACATTTTTAGGGTTTGCCCCGTTTTACGACCTCCCTTGCCACCGTTGTTAAGTGAACCACAGCAGTTGTCCAGTTAGTACGCCGGTCGTTAACTGAATCTGGCTCCTTCCCCGTGGACTTGGCTTGTCAGCCGGTCGCAAAAGGGGATCACGTGACCCTGGGACGCTGCGGCCGTCGTAAATGCGAATCAATGGGCAAGGGTCCGGATTTTGATCACATGACCTGGAGGGGAGGGGGGGGGAGGCCACAATCCTGTGAGAAACGGCCGTGTCCCTTTTTTTTCCAGGGCTGCTCTGACTTCAAACGGTCGCTAAACGAAGAGCACTAAGTGGAGGACTGCCTGTATTATTATTAATTCTGTTGATAGGGCCGCCCAACCCGAACTCGGGACGCTGGCAGGCTGGCCCGGAGAATAAAAAAAACAAGAGAAAAACATCCGAAAAACATGTTTACGTGCAGAACCGGCTGGATCGGTCCAGCCGAAAACACCCTGCAGGAATTTGTTTTTTTCAGGTGCAAGGGGGAAAAAAAAAAAAAAAGGCAGCTGGCACCTTAAGATGTTTGCCCAGGACTACATAAACAATAAGGAGCTTCTCCCCAAAGGGGAACAGGAGGCCTCTTCCCATCCCTTTAGGATTAATTCTGGAATTCATGCCAGTGATGGAAGCCAGCCACCTCCGGGAAAGCCCTGGGCCAACCTTGCTGGGCACCAGGCGAAGAGATATTCCCATCATGCACTGGGCACGGGCATCCTCACCCCCACCTCAGCCCCCAGTCGGAGAGGGTAAAGCTAGCAAGGAGACCCATCAGAAGGAACCATAGACCAGGATCTGATTTGGCTAAGGGGAATGCTAAAAGGGGGGGGTCTCGGAGGTCGGGGGTCTTCCTGGACCAGCTAGGGAACATCCTCAGTGTTAGAATATGGGGGGGTGGGGAGAGGAAGGTGAGGAGGAGGAGGAGGAGAAGGACTGTGGGATCCTTGGTGCTCTCTGAGCTGGGTGGGTTTCATGGAGACGTTTAATGACCCAACTAGGGAACATCATCAATGCTAGAAGGGAGGAGGAGGAGGAGGAGGACGACGACGACTGATGGATCCTTGGTGCTCTCTGAGCTGGGTGGTTTTCTTGCAGACGTTTCATGACCCAACTAGGGAACATCATCAGTGCTAGAAGGGAGGAGGAGGAGGAGGAGGAGGAGGACTGGGGGGAGCTGCTCCTTCTGCCAGTCTGTGCCAAGCCTCCTTCTTGGCATGCCTGGGGCGTCTCCTGCCTGGCTGCCCACCTGCCCTCTCCCTCCGCACCTGTCCGGTTGAGCTTGAAATCCTGAAAGTCACAGTTGAGAGCGAGGTTATTTTTTCGTATCTCCTTCATGTAGTTGAGGAGGTGGACTCTGGCTATGAAAGAGAAAGAGAGAAAAAGAGAGAGAAAGAGAAAGAAAGAGAGAGTGAGGGAAAGACAGAAAAGAAAGAAAGAAAGGGAATAAAGGAAAGAGAAAGAAAAAAGGAAGGAAGGAAGGAAGGAAAGAAAGAAAGAAAGAAAGAAAGAAAGAAAGAAAGAAAGAAAGAAAGAAAGAAAGAAAAGGAGAGAACATATTTTAAATTCAAAGACAGATGAAATGTCACCCAGTTAGGAATCATTTCATAACTTATTCCAGGGGTGGCCAGCTTTTTATAATTGCTTTTCTATTTCTATTTTTATTGCATTGTTAGTCACCCAGAATCTCTCTGGATAGTGTGATACAAAACCAAACCAAACCAAACCAAACCAAAACAAACCAAAACAAACCAAAACAAACAAAACAAAACAAAACAATAATAAAATAAATAAAATAATAAAATAAAATAATAAAATAAATAAAATAAATAAAATAAAATAAATAATAAAATAAAATAATTAAAATAAAATAAAATAATAAAATAAAAAAAAATGAAATAAATAAAATAAAATAAAAATGAAATAAAACAAAATAATAATAAAATAAAATAATACAATAATAAAATAATAAAAAATAAATAAAATAAAATAAAACTTCTGACCAGCAAAGTCAATGGGGGGGGGGAAGCCAGACTCACTTAACAACTGTGGGATTCACTTAACAGCCACGGTGATTCGCTTAATAACTATGGGGAAAAAAAGTCGTAAAACGGGGGCCAAGTCAAATGTCTCGCTTAGCGACAGAAGTTGGGCGTCATAAGTCAAGGACTGCGTATCCTTGGGCCTTCACGGGTGGGTCTGGCCTTTCCCCCCTCACCTTCTGTGGTCTCCTGGGTCAGCTTCTTCAGTTTCCCTTCCAGCTCTGTGACTTTTGCGGTGGAGTCCTTGTCTGCAAAACACAGATTAAGGTCAGCCCTGCGAGGTAGTCCGTCCGGACTAGCCGCACAGCCAGGATTCCTGCATCTGTCTTCAATTCAAGGCCACGTTAAGAGCATCTGGCAGGAACGGAAAATACGCAGAGAGCCCTTGACTTAACAATACTTCATTTAGGGACCGTTCCAAGTTCAATGGCACTGAACAAAAGGGACTTGTGACCGTTTTCCACACTTACGACCGTGGGGGACATTAGAGCGGTGTTCCGGCATTTGAGGGGCTGCCCCAAAGAAAAGGGGCTCCACTTATTTTACAAAGCACTGGAAGGCAGGATAAGAAACAATGGATGGAAACTAACCAAGGAGAGAAGCAATCAGGAATGAAGGAGAAACTCCCGAACAGGGAGGACAGTTAACCAGTGGAACAGCTTGCCACCAGAAGTTGTGGGGGCTCCATCAGGGGAGGTTTTTAAGAAGAGATTGGACAATCATTTGTCTGAAATGGAATAGGGTTTCCTGCCTGAGCAAGGGGCTGGACTAGATGACCTCCAAGGTCCCTTCCAGCTTCTATTCTATTCTATTCTATTCTATTCTATTCTATTCTATATTTTATTATTCTATTCTATTCTGTATTTTATTATTCTATTCTATTCTATATTTTATTATTCTATTCTATTCTATTCTATTCCCATTTCATATATTCTATTCTATTCTATATTTTATTATTCTATTCTATTCTAATTTCATATTTTCTATTCTATTCTATTCTATTCTATTCTATTCTATTCTATTCTATTCTATTCTATTCTATTCTATTCTATTCCCATTTCATATTTTCTATTCTATTCTATTCTATTCTATTCTATTCTATTCTATTCTATTCTATTCTATTCTATATTTTATTATTCTATTCTATTCTATTCTACTATTCTATTCTGTATTTTATTATTCTATTCTATTCTAATTTCATATTTTCTATTCTATTCTATTATTCTATTATGTTCTATATTCTATATTCGATTCTATTCTATTCCCATTTCATATTTTCTATTCTATTCTATTTATTCTATATTCTATATTCTATTCTATTCTATTCTATTCTATTCTATTCTATTCCCATTTCATATATTCTATTCTATTCTATTCTATTCTATTCTATTCTATTCTATTCTATTCTATTCTATTCTATTCTTTTCTTTTCTTTTCTATTCTATTCTATTCTATTCTATTTTATATTTTATTATTCTATTCTATTCCATTCCATTCTATTCTATTTCTTATTCTATTCTATTCCCATTTCATATTTTCTATTCTATTCTATTTATTCTATATTCTATATTCTATATTCTATATTCTATATTCTATTCTATTCTATTCTATTCTATTCTAGTTTAGTCTAGTCTAGTCTAGTCTAGTCTAGTCTAGTCTAGTCTAGTCCCTTCCACCTCTATTCTGATTGAAGGTTACAAATGTTTGTCTCAGAATCTGCAATCAAAACCAGCCGAACTGAGTTTTCGCTTCTGCTCAAGTCTGCAAGGTTTATACCTTTGTCCTGAAGATTCATGAACTGCTTCCCAATTGTTTGACTGAAACTGTTTAGGCTGTCCTGGGTCTCCTTCAATTCCGCGTTGTAAAAATGTCCTGGGAGGCAATAAGAGGAAAAGAAAAACAGTTGAGGAAGAGAAGTGTCTCATTTTGCCCCGTTGGGGATCGCCTGGTGGTCACCGCTCCGCTCGGCTTTTGATGTGCTCAGACCCTGGGCCTAGGAGACCCTGTTTTCTGGCACTGTCATATAGCAACTCGCTCACCTTTGACTCCAAAGACCATGACGGTGATGGTGAGGATGAAGCTGAGTCCCAGCAGGATTAGAATCAGGCGCCGGCTAGGGAAAAGACGTCGGACCCACGTCCGGCTTTGGGGGAGCTTCGGAGGAGCTAAGAAAAGAGGATCCAAAGATTGGTTTCTTTCCCAAACCTTAATAATTAGGATTATTTGCTGCAAGGAATATCTAAACAAAACTTTAAATTGGGCGGACTTCAACTCCCAGAATTCCCCAGCCAGCCGTGCTGACAGGGGAATTCTGGGAGTTGAAGTCCACAGCCCTTAAAATTGCCAAGATTGAGAAACCGTAGACCGGGGGGGTCTTCAAACTTGGCCCTTTGATGACTGGTGGACTTCAACTCCCAGAATTCCTCAGCCAGACAATCGTTTGTCTGAATGGAATAGGGTTTCCTGCCTGAGCAGGGGGTTGGACTAGATGACCTCCACGGTCCGAAATGGTATAGGGTTTCCTGCCTGAGCAGGGGGTTGGACTAGATGACCTCCACGGTCCGAAATGATTTAGGGTTTCCTGCCTGAGCAGGGGGTTGGACTAGATGACCTCCAATGTCCCTTCCAACTTTATTATTATTATTATTATTATTATTATTATTATTATTATTATTATTATTATTATTGGTTCTATTGCTATTTCTCAAGCTTGGCCATTTTTCGTGGTCTGGACATCGACTCCCAGAATTCCCCAGCCAGTGAGGCTATTTTAAAGGTGCTAAGCTTGCGAAACCCTGGTGAATAAAGGAAGGAGGCAGGTCAGAGAGAAGTAGAACAGGTCAGAGGGAAAAACAGTAACTGGAAGGACAGGAGTAGGACAGAAACAGGAATTGGGGCACAATTTGCAGCTAATAAGGGACAGGAAGCATCTGAATGACTAAACTCCTAGCCATTCCAGAGGCACCCTATAATTAAACGTGTAGTAAAGCTGCCTCTACATTTGTTCACCCTACTTACTAACTAGGGAATCCCTGTTTAGCCACAATTAGCTGGAAGGGCTCCTGTACTTTAATTAAGAGGCTTCCGCTCCTTTGCTTCGGTCCCTTTTCCAGCATCCTAATGAAGGGACAGTTTTTAATTGCTGCCAGGGCTTATAAGATTGGAAGCTGTTTTGTGTTTATTTTCAAAAATTCAGAGAAGGGCAGCTAAGATGATCCAAGGCCTGGAGATTAAAATATATGAAGAATGGCTGCGGGACTTGGAAAAGAAGAAATAGGGGAGACAGGATAGCAGCGTTCCAGTATCTGAGGGGCTGCCCCAAAGAAGAGGAGGGGGTCACGTTATTCTCCAAAGCACCAGAGGGAACGATGAGAAACAACAGATGGAAACTGAACAAAGAGAGAAGCAACCTGGAATTAAGGAGAAACTTCCTGACAGGGAGGACAATTAATCAGTGGAACAGCTTGCCACCAGAAGTCGTGGGCACTCCATCACTGGAGGTTTTTTAAAAAAGGCTGGCATAGTCACTTGTCTGAGATGGTATAGGTTCTCCTGCTTGAGCAGGGGGCTGGACTAGAAGACCTCCAAGGTCCCTTCCAACTCTATTCTATTCTATTCTATTCTATTCTATTCTATATTTTATTATTCTATTCTATTCTATTCTATTCTATTCTATATTTTATTATTCTATTCTATTCTATTCTATTCTATTCTATTCTATATTTTATTATTCTATTCTATTCTATTCTATTCTATATTTTATTATTCTATTCTATTTTCTATTCTATTCTATATTTTATTCTATTCTATATTTTATTCTATTTTATATTTTATTATTCTATTCTATTTTCTATTCTATTTTCTGTTCGATTCTATTCTATTCTATTCTATTCTATTCTATTCTATTCTATTCCATTCCATTCCATTCCATTCCATTCCATTCCATTCTATTCTATTCTATTCTATTCTATTCTGTTCTGTTCTATTCTATTCTGTTCTATATTTTATTATTCTATTCTATTTTCTATTCTGTTTTCTATTCTATTCTATTTTCTATTCTTTCTATTCTATTTTCTATTCTATTCTATATTTTATTCTATTCTATATTTTATTCTATTTTATATTTTATTATTCTATTCTATTTTCTATTTTATTCTATTCTATTCTATATTTTATTCTATTCTATTATTATTCTATTATTATTCTGTTCTGTTCCATTTGCGAGAATGCTTTTGAAAACAGGGGGAGGCCACGCAATGCCACAAAAAACCCACAAAGCTTGGCATTTAACAACATCCTGCAAGTTGTCTACATACAACAGCGGTCCCCCATCTTTGCGGCTTGGCAGCCTGGCCTGGGGAAGGGGTGGGGTGAAAGGGAAACTGGGCCATGTGAGCAGCGGGACGTTGCGCACACACATGTGCACTAAAGCCCGATTCGCACGAAGGGCAGGCCGGCACGTGCACACCCACGCACACCGCGGCTTGACTGCAAGTTGAGTGGCGCGCGCGTGGGCGTGCAAAGTGGCCTGCCCGTTGTGTGAATCGAGCTCTGTGTGTGTGTGTGTGTTGTGTGTGTGTGTGTGCCGGTGCATTGCTTGCACGGCCCGGTTGCAAATAGGCCACGTCTCCCCCCTCCAAGTGGGCCACAGCCCGGCGATTGGGGACCTCTGGTCTACAAGGGGCGGGGGAACCCCAGATGGGAGCATAGCTGAAAAGAGACGGATAATTTCAAATTGCTCACTATGTTCCTCTTTATGACCCTCGTCTCTCACTCGTGACCTTTCCAGAATTGGGGAACGGGGCCATAATGGAGCCCCCCCCCGCCCAAGGAAGAGCCACAAATAAGCCTTCATCTGTGGCGCTCCCTTGGGTGGGGGGCATGGTTCGGGGGCTCGGGAAAGACTTGCGAGAATCTGGCAAGGCGCAGCCCATCGGAATGATGCTCACCTTTTATCCTGGGTGGGTCCTCGCTTTCGGGGTCAAACGTCATGGAGAGATCCTGGTAATCTCGGATCATCTTGAGACCCGTCCCCAAACACCTGGAAACACAACAGCCGAGTCAGGGGAGCACGGAGGCGCTGAGTTCACAGAGCGTCCGTCCGCCTGGCTTTATTTTTCAGGCGCTGCTTCGGAACCCAGGGTGCCCCGGTGGCCTCTGAGCTGGGATGCTTTCTCGCAGGGGCTTCTGGCATGGATGATGTTGCCTAGATGGGTCAGGAAATGTCTGCAAGAACACAACCAGGATTGGAAAGCACCAAGGACCCAGAGGAGTCCTCCTCCTCCCCCTCCTCCCCCCTCCTAGCACTGATGATGTTCCCTACTTGGGTCATGAAACGTCTGCAAGGAAACCACCCAGCTCAGAGAGCACCAAGGACCATGGGGTCCTTCCTTCCTTCCTTCCTTCCTTCCTTCCTTCCTTCCTTCCTTCCTTCCTTCCTTCCTTCCTTCCTTCCTTCCTTCCTTCCTTCCTTCCTTCCTTCCTTCCTTCCTTCCTCCTCCTCCTCCCTTCTAGCACTGATGATGTTCCCTAGTTGGGTCACAAAATGCCTGCAAGAAAACCACCCAGCTCAGAGAGCACCAAGGACCCCCCCCCGTCCTTCTCCTCCTCCTCCTCCCCGCTCCTCTGCCTCCTTCTCCTCTTCCCCCTCCTTCTCCTCCCTTCTAGCAGTGATGCTGTTCCGTAGTTGGGTCAGGAGATGTCTGCAAGGAAACCTCCAACTTCAGAGAGCACCAGGGACCCCACAATCCTTCCTTCCTTCCTTCCTTCCTTCCTTCCTTCCTTCCTTTCTTCTAGCACTGATGACGTTCCCTGGTTGGGTCATGAGACGTCTGCAAGGAAACCACCCAGCTCAGAGACCAGCAGGGACCCCACAGTCTTCCTTCCTTCCTTCCTTCCTTCCTTCCTTCCTTCCTTCCTTCCTTCCTTCCTTCCTTCCTTCCTTCCTTCCTTCCTTCCTTCCTTCCTTCCTTCTCCTTCCTTCCTCCTCCTCCTCCTCCTCTCTAAGAAGAGACTCGACAGGCCCTTCTCTGAAATGGAACAGGCTTTCCTGCCTGAGCAGGGGGTTGGACTAGATGACCTCCAAGGTCCCTTCCAACTCTGTCACTCTTTGTTACTCTGTGTTATTCTGTGTTATTCCATTGCTCCTGTCAGGTCTTCCATCCTCCCCTTAGATCCCAGGGATGAACAACTCAGAAAGTGTCTTTGGGGAACCTTCTACACAACCTCTGAAGGTCCCGCTGAGTTCCCCCCCCCCCGCCAAACATTTCTCGCCCTTTCCACAAACCCTGATTTGTTTTGGGCCGGAAAAACAGGCCGTCTCCAAAGTGCTTTTAAAGGAGAGATTGCAACCCCCCCTGCCCTGGTTAAGGCAAGTAAAATTCTAATTTTAAGAGGAGAGGAGATTTTTTCTCTCCCACTTTGGCCTGCTCCTTCTCCGTCCCTGGACCCTCCCATTCTAAGCGACGGTCCCTTGCTGCGCCGAAGGGGAAACTGAGGCAGCTCCCCGGTGCTGGCAAGCCCCCAAAAGAGCCAATATGGCTTCTTCCCCGGAAGAGAAGGGCAGCGGCCGCAGAGGTGACTCCCAAACTCGCTGCATTTGTCACGGGTGACACAGCCGGTGTCCTTTCTATTGGAGTGTTTTTTTCCCTAAATGGCCGCGTTCCCCCCCTCAAAGCCCCCCCCCAAATTCTCACGCAAATGACAGACAATGTTCATGGATTCCTATAATCGGAGAGGTCCTTGGTGTTCTCTGAGGTTGGGGGGTTTCTTGCAGACGTTTCATGAGATAAACTAAGTAACATAATCAGTGCAAGTGGACCCCCCCCCCAAGCTCAGAGAGCACCAAGGACCCCCACAGTCCTCCTCCTCCTCCTCCTCCTCCCTTCTAGCACCAATGACGTTCCCTAGTTGGGTCATGAAACGTCTGCAAGAAAACCCCCCAGCTCAGAGACCCACAAGGACCCCGGGGTCTGTCCTCCCTCCCTCCCTTCCTTCCTTCCTTCCTTTCTGCACTGATGATGTTCCCTGGTTGGGTCATGAAACATCTGCAAGGAGACCACCAAGCTCAGAGAACACCAAGGACCCCACAGTCTTCCTTCCTTCCTTCCTTCCTTCCTTCCTTCCTTCCTTCCTTCCTTCCTTCCTTCCTTCCTTCCTTCCTTCCTTCCTTCCTTCCTTCCTTCTAGCACCGATGATGTTCCCTAGTTGGGTCATGAAACGTCTGCAAGAAAACCCCCCAGCTCAGAGACCCACAAGGACCCCGGGGTCTGTCCTCCCTCCCTCCCTCCCTCCCTCCCTCCTCCTTCCTTCTTCCTTCCTTCCTTCCTTCCTTCCTTCCTTCCTTCCTTCTTCCTACATTCCTTCCTTCCAGCACTGATGATGCTCCCTAGTTGGGTCATGAAACATCTGCAAGAAAACCCCCAGCTCAGAGACCCACAAGGACCCCGGGGTCTGTCTCCTCCCTCCCTCCCTCCCTCCCTCCCTCCCTCCCTCCCTTCCTTCCTTCCTTCCTTCCTTCCTTCCTTCCTTCCTTCCTTCCAGCACTGATGATGCTCCCTAGTTGGGTCATGAAACGTCTGCAAGGAAACCACCAAGCTCAGAGAACACCAAGGACCCCACAGTCTTCCTTCCTTCCTTCCTTCCTCCTCCTCCTCCTCCTCCTTTCTGCCACTGATGACGTTCCCTACTTGGATCATGAGACGTCTGCAAGAAAACAAGCAAACGCAGAGAGCACCAAGGACCCCACAGTGGTCATTCTCCTCCTCCTCCTCCTCTTCCTCCTCCTCCTCCTCCTCCTCCTTGTAAACTCCCTTTCCTCTTGGCCTTGATGATATCCCCTACTTGGATCATGCAACGTCTTCAAGAAAACCACCAAGCTCCGAGCGCGCCAAGGACCCCCACATTGGAACCCTGAGCTGCAGATATTCCCCTTTAATCTTTTCACCTTTAATCTCCTATAATCTTTTTTAAAATTTTTCAAAAGTTTTACAAATAAGAATCCACCCTCCCCTCCCCAACCACCCCACCCACCCCCCCCCCGACTTCCCAGAACTGAATATAGGATTATTTAAGAAATATTTTAAAAATAACATTTGCAATTTATAAAATAATTAGTAATAATAATAATCACAGTAATAATATATATAATAATAATATGCATAACATAAACTTTAAAATGAATAATTGAGAATCTCCTATAATCTTGTTTTGCCTCGGAAGCCCCCCCTCCCCAGTTCTTCTGGCCTGGCCCTGCTTTCCTTGGAGGAAGACCCCCACCCTGGCTTGCTAGTCCAAGGCCAAGCCCCCCCTCCCTCTCCCCCAAAACAAACCCCGAGAGAAATGGGTCCAACCTGCAGTGGGGGACGAGGCTAGTCCTGGTTGAGGTTCCAAAGGGGCCCCCGGTCTTCTTCGGCCCAGGCTTTCCCTTTTTCCTCTGTTGATCTTTGCACTGTCAATACGTCCTTCCTGCCCGACGTTTCAAGGTTTGCCAAAGTTTGCTAAAAGAGAAGCGGCCAGCTGGGTCTGGCCTGAGCCTCTTATACTGGCGCCCAACGCTCAGCCCCTCCCTCGGCTCTGTGCCCCCCCCCCACTTTCAGGAGAGCATTTCCACAAAGAGAGGAACTGAAAGGAACCCTCCAAAATGTCACACAGAGGCAAATTTCAGAGACCGGGCAGAATAGAATAGGACAGTGTTTCCCAAACTTGACAATTTTAAGGCATGAGGACTTCAACTCCCAGAATTCCACAGCCAGCAACGCTGGCTGTGGAATTCTGGGAGTTGAAGTCCACATGCCTTAAAATTGTCAAGTTTGGGAAACACTGGAATAGGATATAATATATCAGGAGGGCAGGGCTAGATGAATCAAAAGTTGGAATTCAAATTGCCGGGAGAAATACCAACAACCATTAGATGGTACCCCAGTGCTCCAGGATCTTTGAAAAATACACACCTGCCAGTTCCTTGAGAACCTTGGGGTGTAATCCCTCTGGTCCTGGTGATTTGAACTCGTCTAGGTTGGACAGGTGCTCACTTAACCATTTTCTTGCCTATCTTAATTTGTGTTTCTGTTCTGTTTTTTACGGCACTGTTTTTGACAGGTTGGTCTGTTTTTTTCCCTTTGTGTAAAGACAGATGCAAAAAAACCCGAGTTAAATAGTTCTGCTTTCTCCCTGTTGCTTGTCACCTTCTTGCCACTTTCACCCACTAATGGACCAATCGTTTCCTTAACATTTTTCTTGTTTTTTTACACGTTGAAAGCAGCTTTTTGTTGTTGTTGTTATTTTTGACTTTGGTCGCAAGCCTTAGTTCATTTTGAGCCTTGGCTTTCCTCACTTCATCTTTGCAGGCTTGGGCTATTTGCTGATAGTCTGCTTTAGTTATGTGCCCCTCTTCCCACTTTTTATACTTGTCCTTTTTATCTTTCAATTGATCAGAGAGTTCTTTATGCAGTCATGCTGGTTTTTTTTGTTGTTGTTATTTTTCTTCTTTGTTGGTATTGTGCTAGACTGGGCTTTTAGAATCTCACTTTTTAAAATTTCCCAAGCTTCTTGGGTTGTTTTCCCCTTGAGGATTCTCATCCATGGAATCCTTCCCAAGCTCTCTCTAAGTTTATTGAAACTAGCTCTCTTGAAGTCCAAGACTCTAGTTTGACTCTGTTCTATTGCTTGTGCTTCCATAATGTTGAATTCCAATATTGCATGATCAATTCCCCCCAAGGTTCCAGTGGCTTCAATACCTTCTATTATTTCATCTAGTGAGGATTAGATCCAATATGGCTAATCCCCTAGTTCCCTTCTCTACTTTTTGGGAGACAAAGTTGTCTGCTAGGTTTGCCAGGAACCTGTTTGATCTTCCACTTGGTGCAGAGTTTGTCTCCCAGTTGATGTCCGGGTAGTTAAAGTCCCCCATTACTATTGTGATGTGCTTCCTACATACCTTAGTTAGCTGACTAGCAAAAAGTTCATCTATTTCCTCTGTTTGGTTGGGTGGCCTATAGTATACACCTACGGCAATGTCATTTTCCCCCCTTTTATATTGACCCAAATGCATTCAATTCAGTTTTAAAGGTTGTTGTATCTGAAATCCAACGTAACTTTCTTTGAGCACACCAAACGCTGTGCCTTTTCTTCCCGGGCTGAGCGTGGACCACGTGACCATCTCGGTTTGTAACGGGGAGCTACCACGATCTGCAAATTTGCTGACGAAAAAGTTCTAGGCTTTCCTGGAACTTGGTCAGCAGATGTTGAACTTCAGCAGCGTGACGGTTGGAAGAAGGAACTCCTTCAACTGCGGGGTGGAACTTTCTTCAGGAGAACTTTCCACCCACATGTGGCCTCGTTGACACTTGTTGTGCTACGTCAGAGTTCTGCAAAGTTGGCCACTGGTGGACTTGACTTCCTAGAATACCCCAGCCAAGATGGAACCACGACGCCTTGGTAAGGCCACCTGTGGAATACAGCATCCGGTGTATACTTAGAGAGCAAGCAACTAAATTTCATTTTTAATGTGTGCCATTATGTCCACAGTAAAAAATGATAATAAAGGTCTATCTATCTATCTATCTATCTATCTATCTATCTATCTATCTATCTATCTATCCATCTATCCATCTACCTATCATCTATCTATCTTTCTTTCTATCTATCTCTATCTATCTATCTCTATCTATCATCTATCTTTCATCTACCTATCTAATCAATCTATCTATCTATCTATCTATCTATCTATCATATATCTATCCATCCATCCATCCATCCATATCTATCTATCTATCTATTTATTTATCTATCTATCTATCTATCTATCTATCTATCTATCTATCTATCCTCTAGGTATCTATCTATCTATCTATCTATCTATCTATCTATCTATCTATCTATCTATCTATCTATCTATCCATCCAACCAACCAACCATCCATATCTATATATCTATATCTATATCCATATCCATATCTATCTATCTATCTATCTATCTATCTATCTATCTATCTATCTATCTATCATCTAGGTATCTTTCTATCTATCTATCTATCTATCTATCTATCTATCTATCTATCTATCTATCCATTCATCCAACCATCCATATCTATCTATCTATCTATCTATCTATCTATCTATCTATCTATCTATCTATCTATCTATCTATCATCTAGGTATCTTTCTATCTATATCTATCTATCTATCTATCTATCTATCTATCTATCTATCTATCTATCTATCTATCTATCTATCTATCTCTATCTTATCTATCCATTCATCCAACCATCCATATCTATCTATCTATCTATCTATCTATCTATCTATCTATCTATCTATCTATCTATCTATCTATCCATCCATCCAACCATCCATATCTATCTACTTATCTACCTACCTACCTGCCTGCCTGCCTACCTACCTATAGATAGAATCCACGTCCTAAAAGGGCCAAGTTTGAAGACCCCTGACCTATACTATCCCTGTGCATCTGTTTTTTTCTTTGCTTTTCTCCACCCTGAAACTCATTTTGTTGGACGGGGCCCCTTCTTCAAGTCTGTCCAGATGTTTTTGGATCCTGAATTTGTCTTCTGGGGTGTTGGCTACTCCTGCCAGTTTGGTGTCACTTGCAAATTTGACGAGTTCCCCTTCAATTCCCTCATCTGAGTCATTGATGAAGATATTTGGAGAGTTTACTCGGCCTAAGACGGGGCCTTGTGGTACCCCACTGCTTACTTCCCTCCGTGCGGATGTGGTGCCGTTGAGGACTATGCGTTGAGTACGGTTTGTCAGCCAGTTGCAAACTCATCTGGTGGTCTACCTCACATTTTTCTAACTTACCAAGAAGTAAACTGTGGTCTACTTTGTTGAACGCCTTGCTGAAGTTCAAGAAAATTAGGCCCACTGCATTTCGCCAGTCCACTCCAGACAGTCCACTCCAGACTTACAACAGTTCATTTAGCGACCGTTTAAAGTTACGACGGCACTGAAAAATGGGACTTATCACCGTTTTTCACACTTAATGACCATTACTGCACCCCTCCAGTCAAAATTCAGACGTTTTGGCAACTGACTCACATTTACGACAGACGCCGCGCCCCTGGGTGGGGGGTGTCACGTGATCCTCCTTTTGCCAACTTCTGACCAGCAAAGTCAAGGGGATTAAGCCAGACTCACTTAACAATGGGATTACTAACTTAAACACTGCAGTGATTCCCTTAATGACCGTGGCATCCTGGTCATAAAATGGGGGCAAACTTCAGTTAAGATCTGTCTGGCTTAGCAACTAACCTTTTGGGCTCAATTTTGGTTGTACGTTGAGGACTACCTGCCATTGAGTCAAATCACCAGCCACAAAATTGCGGCGGCAGATAAAACGGAATTTGTGTGCCCGGAAACTTGCAAAATTAACACACTACCCCTTTCCCAGTTACGGTTATGTAAAGCGCGAACTTTCTCTTTTTCTTCCAAGCAACCTCACCAATAAACACATTTATATTTATATTAATAACCCTGCGGGGTTTCACTTCCTTCTCATTTGCTTGAAAATGCTTTCTTTTGCTCTTCATTTTTTTTTTTTCTAAGGGTTTGCCTTAAAATATTTTCTCGGGAACTCGGAATTATTATTTATTTTTTTTTGCCTGTTTGCAACTTTTTCTTTGCCCTGTATTGACAGGACTGAGTTGCCCGAGCAAATTAACAGCGGGGTAATTCGATTTCAAACGAAAGACAGTTTTATAACTGTTGCGTCCTTGGCGGGAAAACAGACACGAGAAGCAGCTGGAGTTCTCAGTTTCTTTTATTCAGCGTTCAGCTTACAGGAAGATGGCTTCAGCCTCGCCCAAACGCCTCGCAGCCTCTTATATAGGCAACTCCCGGTAAATGGGTTACTTTTCCCGTGCCAGCACCCGCGCATGCGCACGGCGCTGGCGACAGCCTGTCTGGTCCCGGGCAGCTTTGCACCTGCCCGGGACTGCCTGCAAACGCCCGAGCCGTTTGCAAAGGCTCGGGACATAACAATAACGGTAAGTTCCTTTGGAGTTCACCCACTTTGGTTATCCAGGCCGAGAAGGCAGAAATCTTTTGCTTTATCGCTCTCTTGGGGACTGCCGGATTCCTGCGAACACGTCAGCAAAAATAAAGTTATAAATTTAATAAAGTTATAAGTTTAATAGTAGCAACTGTGCGAGGGACCTCGGAGTCCTAGTGGACAATCACTTAGATATGAGCCAGCCGTGTGCTGCAGCTGCCAAAAAGGCCAACACAGTGCTGGGCTGCATTAACAGAGGGATAGAATCAAGATCAGGTGAAGGGTTAATACCACTTTACAAGGCCTTGGGAAGGCCACACTTGGAATACTGCATCCAGTTTTGGTCACCGCGATGTAAAAAAGAAGTTGAGACTCTAGAAAGAGTACAGAGAAGAGCTACAGAGATGATTAGGGGACTGGAGGCTAAAGCATATAAGGAAAGGCTGTTGGAATTGGGTGTGTCTAGTTCAGCAGTTCTCAACGT